GGGGGGGGCTGAGCAGTGACTAGTCTGAACCAGGCCCTGAGGGTCAGTCGCTGGTGGCAAGTAGACATGTGGCAGGGATGAGGTCCTCCAGGGGGCCAAGCCTCAGAGAGTGGGGACCAAAAGTAAGGGGATGAGGTGCAGGACACACATCCATCAGGGCACCCACAATTCTGCCCCTGCCCAGGGCACCTGCTGGACACAGCCCCTTAGGTGTAGGTGTCTGGGGTCTGGCTAAGCTGGCGGCAGGCCCAGTCCCCAGCAGGTCGCCAGGCGCCCCTCTGCTGGGAATGCTGATGTTCCCATGCCCGCCTGCTGGAGCAGCTCAGCCGGGACCTGAGGGACACTGGACCCACACCCTGGTACATCTTCCCAGTGGCCGGGCCTTATCAGGACATACCCACCCAGGCTTCTCTTGCCACCCAGCTCTTCCCCTGCTCAGACAAGGGCCAGCACTGGGGCCCTCTCTGTGACTCTGCCTGTGGGGAGGCATGGACAGGTCAGGCTGGGAGGAACGTGGAGACTGGAGCGGTCAGGCCTGCGGCCAGGTTCCAGCCTCACAGCTGCTAAGCCCTCCAGGCTGTGGGCAGAAGCTCTCACACAGGCTGCAGGATTAGGAGGGGCTTGAAGGGGTGTCACCTCTGGCCAGAGCTGAGAGGAAGGCTGTTTCTCCTTTCTAGAAAAGTGCAAATGCAACTTGGGAAAAAAAATCCACAGGCAAAGGCAAGAAAGAGACCTAGGGTTACCTCCCCCCATTTTAATAAACTACAAATAACTGGTAGACAGAAATCATTGGGCTGCTTTTGTTTCTAAGAATAAATCAAAATTGACTTCCTATTGATTCTGGATTCACTGGATGGGTTCAGAATCCAATCGAAAGGATGTTCACTCCATTTAAATTTAGAATTACCTTCCGCTTAACTTGAACCAAGCCCAGAATTAGCTGATGCTTGCACAAATGTTAGCGTTCCCCAATTTTAAGCTAGCCAACGGGACAAGGAGACAGTTGTCCCTCTTCAGGAGGGGGGAGCCCCAGGACCAAGAGGGCAGAGCTGCAAGGAGAAAGAGAGGTGAGGCGGGAAAGAAGGGGAGGGAAAGGAAGAGGGGGAGAGGAAGGACAGAAGAGACAGTCGACAGAAGCCAGAAGCAGACGCAAGCATGGGGGTGCCGGTCCCAGAACCTGCACAGGGTGAGTGTAGGGCGGTCCCCGTCTACAGTGGTGCCCTCACTACAGATGGTAGCTCGTGGTAAAGCCAGTAATGGTGTGCTTTGGGGGTGAGGGGTGAGGCAAAATGAAGGTCGGTGGCTTGCTTCAGGCCACCTAGCTGGGAAGTGCGGCACCGGCATCCCCAGGAGGGGAACAAGGCAATGGCTGGAGCCAGTGGCCTCAACCATTATGCCACTTGGTCTTTCGGAACAAGACGGTGCCCAGATATGGAGTGTGACGAGGGGTGCTGGGACGAGCAGGTTCCACAGGATGGGAGCAGAAAACAATGAGGGCACCCAGTTCTCAGGTGACAAGTCACAGGCAGAGGACCACAGAGGGCACCAGGGGATGGACAGGTCTGGAAGATGAAAAGCACGAGTGCTGGAGGAGACGGCACCAGGGCACCGAGACAGGTAGACACAGACACGCATGCGCCTTCCTGCCACAACACAGCTGTCACCACTGCTCCACCTTTGTCCAGCTCTTCACAGAGCCCCTGACAGGCCAGCGGCTGACCAGGACCAAGGTGCAGCCCGTGTGGCGGCACGGGTCCCCGCTCAGGTCTGGATTTTAAAGGAAACGCCACACGACCTTAAATAACCACGTTTAATGTGTCACAGAACAAAAGTGTTCTGGAACATTACGTTCATTATGAACTTGAATCACTGTTGTTTTCAAGTCTATCACCCAGCTGAAGCCCCAAGCACACCTTTTATGTTCAATGGCTGAAGTCAAGTCTCGGTGATTTAGCTGGTGGACATAGACAGCCACCACCCCCTTTTTTCTTCTAGGTTCAAAGGAGAATCTGCTCTCACTGGCCACCAGGTCTTGGTGAGGCTGAAGGTCACCCCCCCCCCCGGGACAACGGCCTGCAGACACTAGAACTTTCTAAAGGCACTGGCGCCACAACACCCACCCTGGGGAGGGAGCTAGGCCAAAGGCAGCGACAGAATCTTCTGGAGAGAGCACAGACTCCCCACCCAGTCAGAGTCCACCAGCACCCACTATCACCTCGCTCAGCGCTGTCTGGGCACAGCCTCCCAGGGTGACCTGCTGCAGAGTCCTAGGGTTCAGGCCCTCCATGCCCGACCCTCCCAGGGTATGACCCCTTTCGGGCCGGGGCATCTGCCTCAGGAGCCCTGGGCTTTAAAGCTTGCTGTTCTTCTGAAACTGGGCTACCAGGCTGAGCACCTGCTCGGAAGCTTTGATGTTCTTGGAGCCCAGGTAGGCGGTGCTGTTGGTGGCCGTCTCCTCCAGGAAGTACCGGTAGTTTACCATCAGGCCACACGAGCCGGTGATGCCCTTGAGGCTGGAGTCAGCCATCCAGTTGAGGCGCCACATCACGGCCCCATTCTGCAGGTGGAAGTTGGCCACGGGGTTCAGGGCGTAGCCCCGGTGCTTCTCCCCGTACAGGTACCAGGCGCAGAGCCTCATCAAGGGGGCCTGGAGGGCCCTGACCAGCTTCTCAGACTTCACCCAGTCACTGCTGCTGAGCAGGCCCCTGAGGGTCTCGTGGGCGGGCCCGCCTGTGAGCTCGGAGATGTCTCTGCACTCCGGCTCTGTGAGCAGCTCGCTCTTCCCTGGCTCCTTGGCCTGTGTGCTCAGGAGCCCTAGAAGCCACTTGGTGAATCCAGGGATAGGAGACAGACTGGAAAACGCCCCCAGGTGAGGAAACTCTTTCTGTAAGGCAGGGGTGGGGTGGGGAAGGAAGGTGGAAACACACAAATTCAGCAGGCCTGTCACCAGCCCAGGAAACCTGTTTCCCATCTGTCTCCTCAGCCTCTGAATGCTCCTGTGGTTTGCAGAGTGACAGCTGAAGTCAGGTGCTTTTTTTTTATTAGGGGCCTAGTGAGTGCCACGCCCTGGAGACATCCCCAGGCACCTTTACTTGGTGCCCGTCTGCACCACTGCCCCTGCAGTCAGTCAGAGGCACGGCAGTCAGGGACACGGCCCCTGGTGTGCCGCCTCTGACCGCAGTCCTGGTCCTTCTAGCCCACCACGCCCCTCCCATGGCCTTCTCTGGCACACAACCCGGTTTCACGCTTGGCACTCTCGTACCCGGTGAGTCTGTTGAATAACTAGCTGCCCAGGTGTACACCACAGGGGTGCAGAGGAGGGGACAGAGGGAGAGCAACAGGTATTTGCCCACACCAGTCAGTATGCTACAGAGGTCTCAGACTGTTCCCAAACCACAGTATTTGCTGACTACAGACATAACAGATACTTACTGGAGACCGATGGAAGCAAAGAAAACCCTCATGCTCCACACGCCTCTCTTACTTTCTTTCCAATAGTTTGGCCAAGTCTGCTTCCTTACTAGTCATTGCCTCGGCAACCTGTGCGCGGTCACCTGCTTTACGACCTGTACAATGCGCCTTCTCTCATCAGCAATCAAAATTCAGGACCAGTATTTTCAACCACAGAACACGATCTCCCCATATTCTTCTCACTGGTATAAGGGCGGCTCTCCAGCTCAGGTTCCACAAAGCCCGCCAGTGCCCTGGGGGGTGGGGGCACTAGGGCTCCTTCCAGACCCTCACCTGCTGTGCCCCCCCAGGATGGCTGCGAGAGGGCCCTGCTCCGAAGGGTCCGGAAGCAGTGGGTGGGCCGCCCAGAACAGGGCCTGCCCTTCCTGGGACAGGCTTTCTTACCCTCCCTGCCCCTTCATTCACACCTCCGGCAAAGAGGCTGTCACGAGAAAGCAGCAGCAGGCATTTGTCAGCCATTGTCTTCACCACCTCCAGGCAAATTCACTGCAATGAAGACAGCACCTAAACAAGCCCTGAGTCCTCCAGTTGAAAACTGATCAGGAGTTTACTAGGGAGCCGCTGATACCAGAATTCCACTCCAGCTGCCATTTCCCCGGGCTGGGCTTCTGGGGCGCTGTCCGTGCTGAAACCACCCAAAGCAGAGAGCCCCACTCTCGGAGGCCACTGAGCTGTCGGATTATTTTACCTCACCTTAGATTCTACTTGCTTTATTCACTGACACTCCTTAGGAGAAAAAAATTAAAAGGCCTAGACCCAGAGCAAACATTTCTGTTGTGAGAGGGCCGAGTTTCCCCCAGGGCAACAAAGAGAAGGCAACAGTGTGTGGCAAGCACACAGTCCAGAGGCTGATCTTTCTCCTGTTTAACCTGGACACGCTCTCACAGACCAGGAGGCGGCAGGGGTCTGAGCCTGGGGAGGGCAGGCAGGGCCCAAGAGAAGAGCAGGGCCACACCTCATTCTTGTGCCAGGACCACGGGGGCAAGCCATGATGGGTCCGCTGGAGAGAGGCCCCTGGCACACACTGCATCTGGAGGCCACAGGAACAGCCAGACCACAGACTGTTCCAGCTCCCGAGTGCTCCCAGGGTTCCGGGGAAGCACCCCGGCCCCACCCCGAGATGACCACAGGGGTGCCCCATCACTGACCTGCAGTTCCTTCACCACCCGCTTTATGAGGAAGGTGCCCAGCTCCACACCCTGCAGGCCTGGCTGGGTGAGATTGATGGAGTAGAACACGGCCGCGGCGATCCTGTTCTTCTCCTCGCTCTCGGACGGAGGGCACTCCTTCACTATGGCCTGGAGGACAATCGCTGCCAGGTGAGAGGCGTGGCTGTGCCCACAGCTGCACCTCACCCTCCTTTCTGGGCTGTGAGCTCTCCTCTGCCCCACTGGGGCCCTGGACTTGGGTCACGGCTATGCAGATGAGCTCCTGGCCTCTTCTTTTTGGGAGCCTCGCTGGGGGCCTGGGGGTTGGGCTTAGTGTGCATCTTTCCCATCCCTTTGAGATTCTTTTTGGAAAACAGCAGTTGACGCCCCTTTCATCTTTCTCATGCCTTTAAGCACTGACACTTGATCAACCTGCTCCCCGCCAATATCCAGAATTTTGACCATGTCAAAGATCCTAAGCTGCCTCCACAATTAGCTGTGTGTGAACAACACAGGGCATGAGCTCCCGAGCGACCTTCAGTATTTCCAGCTCCAGAAACTGGGGACAGTGTGCAGTGCGTGACAGTCTACTCTCAGCTTGGAGACTCTCCTGGGACAGTCTTCACAGCGAAATTTTGACAGCAACAGGAAGGCCCCTCTTCCGTGATGGCAGATGTTGCCCAAGTGCCCTCCGAGAGGCTCAGCAATTCCTGGTGCGTGCGAAGCGCCCCTGCACCCGAGAGCTCGCCCTATGGCCAAGAGAAAAGGCCCACCTCCGCTCTCCTCCGGCCTTCTGGTGGCGCGTCCTCTCCCCATCCCACCGGCTGTCGTTTATCTTCCTCTCTCCAACCTCCCAATGGCCTGCTGGGTTGGCAGATCCCCCTTACTGTGGCTGTCGGGTCTTGCTCCCCCTTGCTTTCCCTACCTTTCCTGAGGCCTGCACACCCAATCCCAGAACTGGTGGCACTGGCTTTTCCACCCCCCAGGCCAACTCTGTAAGGTGAAGCCATGCTGGCCTGAGGTGGACGGGCCAAGCACCCCCCTCTGCAGGGCTCTGGGCCTGCAGGTGGTATATAACCTGGGGCCCTTTTTAGACTTTCTCTATCATGAGTTTTTTAATCCTCCTCTCCCCTGCAAAACACACACACACGACAAATACTGCAGAGTGGAACACAGGTCCTTTCTGGCTTTTCTCGCTTCACAAAAGCGTTGTGTAGGTATTCAACCAAGTCTCAGCCAGAAGCTAGCAGAGCAGTGCTCTCTCCTTCCTCTTCTGAGTCTGCAACTACCAACTTGGAGGTTTTACCCAGCCAATTCCCATATCTGTCCAAGCCTAACACAATCTACTGTTAAGAAGGGGGTCTAGGCAAGTTAAACCACTGAAGGGGCTTGGGAATGCTGTGGTGTCCTGAAGCTCCACCCCTCACCTGGATGTTGCTGGAGACGTCGCTCGTCAGTGCCACATGCAGGACCACCAGGGGCTCCCCCGGGGCTGAGCAGTGGGAGAAGAAGTAGCACCGCCTGTAGGGCCCCACGCGCTGCTTCATGTCCATCCAGCTCTTCACCGGGTGCACAGCCTCCGCCCTGTGGGGGTTAGAGGGAGATACCTCCAGTCAGTCTCACACTGGTTGGGTTTCTTTCATGAATGCAGAGGAAAGTCCTCAAAACCAGCTTCTGTGGCCACTTCAGGAAAATTCAGAGAACATCACTTTAATGTGAATCACCACTGACTTTTGAGGGAAATAAAATTAATGAGCACTTCACACAATTGTGCTCAGATTCTCAATGCCTGGTGCACTTAGGACACCCCGTCTCTCATTCTGCTGACTCTCTGGGTGTGGCAGGAGGCAGATGCCGCCGGGCTCTGGTGGCTTCACCCCTGGGCCCTCAGTATGGGCAATGGCATGCTGCCCTCACACAGCACACAGGACAGCACCAACATCTCTACCCTCGAGACCACGTGGATGGCAGAGGCCTGAGGTGGAAGAAGAGTCCAGAGGCGAGGACCAGCCAGGCGTACCTCACTGGGTACAGCACTTTTGAGGTTTTTTATTTTTTAAATTTTATACAGTCCAAGTTTTAATCCTGGTCCTGTTGGTTGAGCAGCCTTAACAAAACTACTTAGCTTTCCTCTCAGTCTCAGCTTCCAAATCTGTGAAATGGACCCAGCTATCTATTTCCATTGCTTCACTGGGAGGCTTCAGTGTCATAAGAATGAACCAATAATGGGCCTGTGTTCAACTGTTTCATTCATTCAAATACATGAACCTTTCTTTACCCAAGATGCGGCCTTCAGGGGGAAATATAAAGGGTTCTGGGTCCTTCCCAAGGCTTTTAGGTTCTTGACGCAGCAGTTCTTCCCGTGACCTGCTTTTGCACTTCCCACAGTCTCCTTTTCTCTGCTTTGATAAGTATTAGGCTGATTTGGGGCCCTTAATGTATCACATGGGATAAAGTCAAAGATGGGCAGAGGAAAGAAAAGGGAAAGGGCAGATTTGCTTGTCACCTGTAAGGACCTCTGGGTGACAAGAGCTGACAAATTTCTTTATAACAAAATTTCCAGAGGAGGAGCTGGACTGGACCGCGAGTGGTGGAGGACTCTTAGGCATCTTTTTTGAGCAGAAAGGGTGGAAGGGCCCTGGGAACGATCAGGCAACTGAGTAGGACACTTCAAAGACACAGAATTTTTTTTTTTTTTAAAGATTTATTTATGCATACAGGACTGGGGCACAGGCCAGAGGTGCAGGGACGGTGAGAAGATTCACCACACACAGAGCAGGGAGCAGAACAGACAGATTGATGAAATACACTGCTGAGGGGAGCAGTGGGTGGGTCAGGAGAGGTCTGCTCCACCATGTGGTCACCTCCAGGGCTGGCGGGAATCGAACTCATGCTGAAGTGGCTTTAGCTTCTTACTGCTGTGTTTTAACCCGCTGCGCCACCAGGAAGGGCCCAACAGAATTTTTTTTTTTAAGGTAAAAACTAAAAACAAGTAAAACAAAATAGCCACCACCATCCTTCTTACCCTTATCTCTTTTTTCCTGCCTCTGGAAACCTCAGCTGGATTATCAAGGTCCACTACATTACTTCAATTTTTCTTTGTCAGTTCAGCTGCTTTCTGTCCTTGTTATTACCCATAATAACAAGGAACCATTTAGTGGTTGCCTCTGTCTTCCTGACTTCACTCTATGATCCCTTCAGCGTCTTACATTTTGCTACAAATGGCAGCATTTCACCTTTCCTCCTGGCTGAACAGCATTCCACTGTGAGTGATATACACTGCATCTTCTTTCGCCAATCCTCTGTGCGCAGGGACTTAGGCTGCCTCCAAATATTAGCTAGTATAAATAACGCAGGAACTTTAGGGATTTTATCCAAGGGAAAAATTTTAACAGCTAGCTAGATGAGCTAGATGTTACCTGATAACCAATGCAAATCCAGTAACTTCATACAGCTCTGATAATGGGTCTTGGGAAAAAAGTGGGCTTGTGCATTTGAAATGAGACCCCGAATTTAACATGCAACAGAACAAAGGCCCCACATTTAAAATGTGACCAGAAATGAGTGGCCACCCTTACCAGGGAGCAGAAGTGTCTCTGTGCCCTTGCCTGGACAGCCGCCACAGCTGTGATGCCCCTGCCAGCTTTATCAGGCTCCAGATAAAGTGCACATATGAGTGGAGACCGGCTCTCAGGGAAGACAGGAAAAAGGGAAGCCAGCAACTTACTCGCTGATTTTCTGTAGCACTTCACAGGGCGAATGCCAGGTGACCCGCTCCAGGGTCAGGAAGCCAGAGGAGAACCATTCGGACAGCATGCCTTTCAGCACGCCATTCATTTCCTGCAACGACAAGAGACAGTGTGGGTCTCCCCGAGAGAGAACTCTGTTCACCTCTGCCGCTTCCAGCACAGTGACCGCAGTGGAAGCAGTGAACCCAACACAGAAGGCTGCCAGAAGATGCTCCAGCCGGCTCTCTGAGACTGTGCAACTGAGTTCTTACCCTGCATTAGACTGAGTTCAAACCACTCGAGCATGGCCACTTCAGTCTCAAGCCAACGGAGTGAGAGTTCCACGGGAGCCGGTTGCTCAAATCAAATTCCTCACCCCTACTTGTTCACACAGTGCAGCCAACTGGAAATTCAAAGCTGGCGTCACAAGGAAGGCATGGCCTAGCATAAAGGACACGAACACTGAGCTTAAGTCCTCCTCTCAGAAACATTTGATTTGTCAAACATTATTCCTTGTTTCTTAAGAGGAACAAGCACTGGGTCCAGGTCCCCTATTTCTCTAAGAAAGTCATTTTCACATTTCTGGAGTCAAGATGCACCTTTGAAAGGATAGGTCGGTTTCACTGGTAGTATTCCCGCCCCCCTCCCACCCTCCACCTGCTTAGAATATGAGTTAATAGTGAATCTGGCAATCAGTATATTTAGATTTGATGACTCTCTTCTAGTTCACCTCACAGTAACTTTAGTGCTTTCTGAAAGAATGACTAATCCAAGATCACTTGCACAGCGCCCTTTGAGGCAAGAAAAGCAAGGTGTGTGTGTGTGTGTGTGTGTGTGTGTGTGTAAGGAAGACTAGGGGAGGATGCCAGGGCAGGACCATCTGGTTTAGCTGATGGTGACCCCTGCTGACCACATAACAGCAGTGACCGGAGAGCCAGAGCAGAGGGGGGCACAAGGCAGCAGACTCAATCACAGGGCAGCCAGATATTACCAGAGATGCCCTGGAGCTGCTCACTGTGCACCTTAAAGTATGCAAGCAGTGGGCCCTACGCACCCATCTTTTGCTCTGTCCTTCCTTTAGGCTGGAAGTCATTTTGAGCCATGAGGGAATTTGGGGGATGACGGTTTTTCCAGGGAGAGCAACAAGATGGAAGTCTGGCCAAATGAGGCCCCGCAGCGCAGAATCAGTTCTCAGCTGCCTAGCTGCTGACTTCTCCACGAGATAAAATCTGTTATTCAAATCACTGTTCTTTTGATGAACCACATACTAACTTACTGGTACTGAGGAATAACAGTAAACATCTGGTGTAGGACTGACCTTATGAATCTTTGTCTAAGAGTCACAGAGACCCTGATGTATAACTCCTATAATAAAGAGCGGCTTATAAGAGTTGTAAAAATGTCATAGGGTCATTTCACGTTTCAATCCCTGGTAAAAGGTCTAAGGACTTTGTCACCAAAGGGTAAGTTGCAGTTATGGGTTTGTGGCTTAGAAAAGGCTTCAGCATGAAGTGAAATCTCAATTTAAATATTTCAAAAAGATTTAAATACTTAAGGCTTAGAGCCCAGAAGAGGCTACAAATTTGGTCTATGGGACCCCATGAGGGAAATAAATCTGAGGTCAACTGGGGGAAGTCACAGGTAGTCTGACATTGGCAGAACTCACTGTAGAGAACTTCTGACTGGCTGGGGCTGCCTACACGTCTCCCGGAGGGGTGACCTCATTGGGAGCAAGTGAGCGCAGGTCCACAGGCTGGGTGGTGTCTGAAAAGCAGCTGCACCAGAGCACCACTGCAATTCCCTTAACCTTTGATTCCATAAGCGTCTAGTGTCCTTTCCCCGGTCCTACATGTAAAGGCAGAGGTCATTTCTGATTCATTCCTCCAGCACAGGAAGGGGGCGATTCCTTGTGGGAAGTGGCTAATAAGCTGGTAACAAGTGAAGAGAAGCCTGAGAAGGGGCTAGGAGAGGAGCAAGCGAGGGGCGGAGCTGTCATCTGACAGGCAACAGAAACTGCTCTTGATGAAACTGCATCGATTGTGGTGACCACAGTGGGTCCTGCTCTTCTTCCTCAGGCCTCAAAAACTCTTGAGCACGCACTAACAACCAGGTACCCAGCCAAGTGCCATGTACTACATTTAGGAAACGAAATAGTCATAAATACCTAGTTTTAGTATTTATTATGAAAGAAAGCTTTTGGCTGGTGTAAACTCTCCTAAGTGTCTTTTCAGTCTATTCTGGCTTCCTGGCAGCTCCAAACTATACATAGCTGGTGTAGGAGAAGAGGGAGTCCAGGTGAACGGTTAGCAGTCTCCACTGCTTGGTGCGCTGTGACCACAGCTGTCTGGCCAGTACCAGCCACTCCAGCTACACGCTGCTGGGTCACAAGAACCGAAGGGCCAGAAACAGCATAAGCTGTGTGTTCTCTCGGTCACTTATCGACAGCCCAAGACTCGAAATGCAGTCGCCGGGGTGCTGGTGACACTGGACTCAGCCTTTGTTCAACGCTTTCCACCCTGCGAATTCCACCATCTCAGGTAACAGATGAGCAGGCTGGCCAACTCTCCCTCTGAACAGAGAAAAGCTGGCCCCTCGGTGTCTTCTGAAGTTTGGGGCTACCAAGGTCTCCTGCTTCTGGTATATGAAGAAAAAGCTCTCTTCATTGTCAGAGGCCCTGAAAACCATCGGAGGGGCCGAGCGTGCTTAAACAAAGGCGTTTCCAATCCCGCTCCAATTTGCCCCAGCCCTTGGCATCAAGAGATGGGGGCATACTATAACACAGGTAAGTTCTCTTTTATAGTCTAGTTAAGCACAGGATTTAGTAGAAGCAATGCCGGCCACGCTCACTTAAAGTCAGACAAGTCCACCAAAGAGGTCACACGATGAAGCACTTGGCATGGCTGGGAATCAAGGGGAGGGGACGGGACCCTGTTTGTCCCTTGTGTGAAGCGCCACCCATGCTGCCGTCTGGGCCCCATATTGCCCATCTCACCAGCATTCCCCTACCCACCCTCCCAGTCTTTAAATGCCCACTTCCCTCCATCGCCCACAAACTGCTGATCTGTGCTCAGACCTTCCCCCACAATGGAGATTCAGCTCCATTTCATAGGGATCTTGTGTGGAAAAAAAATCTAAATCTTCCACCCTTATGGGTCTTTGAAGAAAAACAAAAAGCACATAATGTTCCCACCACTACATTCCGCCACTCGTACACGCTCACACACATAGTACACAGGCAGAGCTGGGAGACAGGGCACGTGAGTCAGGGAGCGCCAGTTGGCACACAATCTGTCTCTGCTGAAGACAGGCCCTGGTGGCAGTCTGCCAAGGTTAGCTGTTACTTCTTACCTCCCTTTCCCACACCAATATTTCAGCAGAAAGCTGAAGACAGGAGTGTGGTGCCATCACCAGGTGGGTTTGAACCTGCCCCTCTAAGCACAGAGGGAGCCCTGCCATCCCATCTCAGAAAAGGACATGGAGAATGGGACTTCTTTCCACGGCGGGGATG